CCGTGTCCAGCATGCTTGTTGGACACGGGTAACAGTGCCGTTAGGCACTGTTATCTTTTTTTTTTTTTTTTTTTTTTTTTTTTAAATTTCATATCACTTTGTTATAGAAGTATATGTTCATAATTTTATTACTATATGTTAATAACTATACATTCATAACTCCATAACTGTACGTTCATAACTCTATAACTGTACATTCATAACTCTATAACTGTACATTCATAACGTCATAACTGTACATTCATAACTCCATAATTGTACATTCATAATTTTCGAAGCTCTATGTTCACAATTTTAGAGCTCTATGTTCATAATTTTATCACTATATGTTCATAATGTTAGAGCTCTTTGTTCATAATTCGATCAATAACTGTACATTCATAATTCCATAACTGTAGATTCATAATCTCATAACTGTAGATTCATAACTCCATAACTGTAGATTCATAACTCTATAACTGTACATTCATAATCTTCGAAGCTCTATATTCACAATTTTAAAGCTCCATGGTCATAATTTTATCACTATATATGTTCATAATTGTAAGTTCATAATGTTAGAGCTCTGTGTTCATAATTTCATAATTGCATAACTGTACATTCATAACGGCATAACTGTACATTCATAATCAAAAAAAAAAAATAACGCTGTTAACGGCAAAACACGCGCGAATTTTTTTTTTTTAACTAAATGACGCGTTTTTTTTTTTTAAAACGACGTCGTTTTGGGCCCGTGTCCACAATTCAATGTGGGCACGGGTCCAGAGCATAATTTGCCTTATTTGAAATCCTAATTTAAAAGCGGAATTCTATTTGCATCATCCTAATTGTTATTTACACTATATTTTAATAGGTGTGTTAGTTTTATAGGTGGTGTAAATAGAACATTACTATTTGCACCACCTTCATTAAAGTTAGTCAAACATTATGTTTGTATTTAAAATATTTATTATTTATTTTTATTTCAAATTGTGATAATATAAGTTTAATTATTTTGTGTAGTATCTAATGTTTACTAAATGTTAATGATAAAATTAATTTTTATTTTGTTTTTTTTTATAACTCAATTTTTTTTTTTGTATGCATTATTTTACTTTTTTTATAAAAATATAATAAATTAATTTTGAATCGCTAAAAATTGTAAAAACACATTAACATCACAATAAAAATATTACAAGAAAATTTCATTCCATTTCAATCCAATATAATATTCTAATTAGTACAATTAGAGCGTATAGTACATGCTCATTGTAACTATTGAACTTATTCACATATAAAGTAATCCATGCATCTGCACAATCATATTTAAAATGAACCCATTGTGGAGCGATAGTTGACATTGGGTACCCCCTGTCAATGTTACCTTAATATAATGATTATTATTAACATAACCAAGGGCAGTTGCTACATGCTCGTACCAAGGTGGTAGGCTAAATCAGAGCGGTAAATATGTTGTATTGCCGGCGATATTCAAAACATGTAGTATCACATGCATTGTATCTGGAAGCAATTAGTACACTCATCTCTGACATAGCCATTCAGTGCCCAACTAGTGCACTGCACACCGATCTGGGTTGCCTTCTCTGGTGAGGAGGCAACCCAGTGGGTCGCCTTCTCACCGGAGAAGACGAGGTTATTTTTATTTTTTATTGTTTTTAAATAATTTAATTTTTAATTAAAAAATTATTAATGAAATCTCGTAAATTACATTTGACCAAGTTGGTGTAAATAATCATATTTACATTCTTATTGCTATTTACACCACCTATGTAATTGTTGAAATTTTTCATCTTTTTACAATTTCATGATTATTTTATACTTATTTTTCGCTAGAGGGTGGTACAAATACCAACATTCATTTAAAATTTGAACATTGGAAGTGAAGAATCATCAAAGCTTGTGTTGTCAACTATATATGGACTTTAATTAGCAAATGGGTTAATTAAACTCTTGTGGGATTTTCATGGGTTGCTCACGGAAAAAGGATATCTATGCTTCTTCATAATCAAACAAATCTCATAAATACGATCAAGAATATTCTCTACAGATAAATTAGAGATAAGTTTTTTTCTTGCTAGATAATTTAACACAAAGAAATAAAAATGCCCACACCGCATGTCTCAACCAAGAGAAATAATTGATTTTGAAACATATTACCTTTGCAGTCTAAACCCCTTAACATCTACTATACAATGGTACAACCGTACAACACCCCCTCAACAAAATTTGGTGTTATTCAGAAACATAGAAAACATAGGATATTTTGGCGTTGTTCAGAAACCTAGAAAATATCGGATATAAAATTGTGAGTACCATCTTTCAACTGAATATAGATTTTATCTTTTCTCAAAATTAGAACTTTTGACTTATTGTCAAATGTCACTTCTGACTAGACTAATTCATCTAGTTCGAAAACAATTCTTTCTAACCATGTTTTCATTTTCAGAAAAATTGTTACTGGTCAAAAGTAATGTTTCACAACTCTCTCTAGACTTTTCAGTTAGGGGTGGGCATAATTTGAATTATCCGAAGTACCACTCGAAACCTGAACTGAATTTTAAATTTTGGGTGAACTTGAATAGTTATCGATTCGGGTATTTTAAATTTTGGTATATCAACCAGGACTATGTGGTCTAATGGTACCCGGGTTGGACTTCCATTTGGAAGATTATGAGTTCGAGCCTCAGTGGAGGCGTTATTGGTTCTTTGTGTTTTAGTAGGTTGAGAAAGTATATGAACAGATACTACAATGTAATAGAACCAGTAACTTTCAAAAAATTTTGGTATATCAGATTATAAATTTGGTTCGAATATTGGGTGTTAAAAATTTATGCATACTCGAACCGAAACCCGAACTAACCAAAATTTTATTATAAATATAATAATACAAATTATATATTTAATTTTAAATGTATTTCACAATTAATAATATATTAATTCTCAAAGTCTCTTAATTCGTAATTACTATTTTGTCTTATTTTTAGTTTAATAGTATATGGAAAAATATAAATACAAAAATAATAAAATCGTTACAAACTCAAAAATGATAAAAACAAAATTTTGGATATATCCAAACTAACCCGAAATAATTTCACCCGAACCGAATACATCCGAAATAAAATTTGGGTGTCACCCGAACCGAACTAACGCCCACAGGCATGTTTTATGTCACTTGATTTTTCAACTCATTTGATAATTGTTTCATCATAAATAAATAAAATTTTCAGTTGGATCTAATTGAGTTTTACAATCGTTATGCTGTGGAACCGTGTCCACCTTGCAAGGTGGACACAGTTCTATGTTCATAATTATTGAACTATATGTTCATAATTATAAAGCTATATATTCATAATTTTTTAATTTCATATTCATTAATTATTGAACTCTATATTCACAATTACAGAACTCTATGTTCATAATTACTAAACTATATGTTCATAATTATAAAGCTATATATTCATAATTTTTGAACTTCATATTAACAATTATTGAATCTCTATATTTATAATTACAGAACTATATGTTCATAATTATGTTCACAACTCTATGTTCATAATTATAGAACTATATGTTCATAATTTTTGAAGTATATATTCATAATTATGAACAATTTTGAAACGGTGTTCACCTTGCAAGGTGGACACGATTCCACACTATAATTTGCCCAAGTTTTATGTCACATTGCCACTAGATTAATTGAGATTAAAATATTATCATAAGGGTTTCTTAATTGGATTTAATTTAATTATACCACCAATATGTAATCTTGTGTTCATACTTGCCACAATGATAGCAATGAGTTACAAATTTATGTTGTTTGGTATATGGGTTGCAAATGGGTCAAGCTACTTGACCACAACTTGACTTAAGTTCAGTCAACGACGAGCCGCTTGCGAGTCATTATGTATGTATATGTATGTATGTGTGTGTGTATATATATATATATATATATATATATATATGTGTGGAAAATTGCATATTTGATTCCTGAGTTATACCCAAGTTTCAACTCAATCCCTGAGTTATGACCGTATCCATTTTTAGTCCCTCAATTATTATGAACGAAGTGCTGATTTTGTTCCCAGCCGTTAAAACTGATGGAAAAATAAAAAAAATATTTATAATTTGAGGGGTAAAGTAAGAAATTCACATTTTATCCTCCTTTTTATATCAAACCCACTTTCACAACATTATTTTTCACTTCTTAGCCTCTTATTTCAAGATTGTTCAATTCTAAAAGCATTTCAATAACTTTAGTATGACTTGTTAGGAACCTGACTCTTGTATAACAAACTTAAGACAAACAAAGAAACACTTGATCATTATCTTCAGACGTGTGAAGCACACTATCTTATCAATTTTTAATTTTCTTTACTAAACAACAAAGGTAATCAAACCAGAACTTTTGAGATACATATCTTCTTGTATTTCAAAAGTTATGGTTTGATTACCATTATGTTTAATAAGAAAAATCAGAAACTTTCAGGATGATGTGTTTACATGCTTGAAGACAATGATCAAATGTTCTCTTGTATGTACTGAGTCACGGGTTCCTTATACGAGATCCATATTACTAACAAGTCCTACGAAATTATTGAATTGCTTTTGGAATTGAAGAACCTTGAAATAGAATGCTAGGAAGTTGAAAATAATGTTACAAAAGCAGTTTCAATAATAGAAAGTGAATAAAATGTGAATTTCCTACTTACTCTTAATTTTTTCACGGTCGGGGACCAAATGTGCACCACTTGGCTCATAACGCAGGACTAAACTCGTCATTTTCCCCATATATATATACATACATACTTAAGCTAGAACCCTATACAGTATACACTTCACCCTTGCATTGAGCAGCTCTCTGGAGCCGCATTCACTAATACTAATATACTATACGTCTATACCTCTCCTATGAAGGAGCAGCAGAATCGTCCCTATATATACACTTGACACTTGCATTGAGCAGCTCCCTGACAACGAGCAGCAAAAATATTCAATTCGTCCCTCCCGGCCGCCTGTACACTTCACACTATATATACTTCCCCTCAAAATGCCTGTTCAGCAGCAGCATACCTCCCCTGACCACCACGTATTGCACAACAGATTTATCATCACGAATATATATGGATCGGATATTCTTGCTTCTACCCGGCCTGACAATATAATTAGATAGGTTTTATTATTTTCTATCTTTTGTAAGTTTCCATTTTGCTGCCCAACACTTTAGTCCAAATTTTATTTTCCTCTATCCACCATATATATATAGGTACGGTACGGTTATCTCTCATTTCTACTATCCATGATAAATTTTCCAGGTACAGCTTTCAGCTTTGGATGGAGTTATGGAAATATATAGTTGCAAGATGGTAAAAATGGACTAATAATAATCAATATTCAAAGTGTGTGTGTGTTGTCTTTGTTTTGTGTAATGTAAATCATCTCATCTCATCTCATCTATATACTACATGCCTTTTATGCTTCCCATTTCATGTCTTAACCTCCACTTGGTTATTGGTACGTTATGCAGATAGATAAACTTAAAGGATCCCTTCCCTCTATGCAAATCCAACATTATATTATATTGGATTACCTACAACTCAACCATCCCTAATACACTATCCTAGTACTATGGTTAAGATTTCTCCATCATGGACTATATTTTTCACAGTTAGCTAAACACTATTTTTGTCTCCTTGTAGATATCCTTCATGGCAATATAATGTAAAGCTCTGCCAGAACTAACTTGAAATAGGTATATTCCAATTTCCAAGCTAAGCATGCTCAGCATTTGGTTCAAACGTTTGATTTACAATCTATTTCTATCTAACACCTTAGTCACTCTGAATTCAACATCTATATGCAGGTATACTATTGCACACTTGAACTGTACGTATTTCAGAATAACAGTGATGAAAGTAAATTTGGATGGACGTACCAGTAAGACACCACCGACACTCACCAATAATAATTTGTAGTTTTATTTTGATTCATTTTTATGAATATAAGTAAAAATAGATAAAGAACTCTTCATCTATTTTACTTATATTCATAAAGATAGTCAAAATAAAACTACAAACTATTATTGTTGAGTGTCGGTAGTGTCTTACTCGTACGTCCATCCAAATTTACTTCCAAAGAATCATTTGGTAAATCAAATTATTTACACGACTGTTATTCTGAGTTATACATTGACAAATCAACATATCGTGAAATGATACGTAGCGATTTGAGAATGCAGGCCTAGTTGGACATGTTTGTCAGATTGTTGTTGACATCCTTCAGTATGTCTCTGTCAGATTGTTGTTGACATATCATGGAACTCTCTCAGTTTTTACTAGCCACTAGCCAGTACTCTTGTATACTCAGCTCACTAAATGAATAGGTTGTTCACTTGGATTAAATTTAACATGCAACAAACGTTTGTTCTTAATATTGTGTTTTTTTTTTTGAAGAAGAAGAATTGGTTTCTTCCTCACTTTCAACCACCCCAAGCGCTATGTACTAATTGTTTCTAAAACTCTTCTGTTTACTGCCAGATCGTCTTGTCACACTTGGGGTGCTTTCCAACTAGCACACCCTTCATATATGTGTGAAATCTGCAAAAAAAAAAAAAAAAAAAAAAAAAAAGCTTCGAGAATGCACTAGAATCTGTGGCTTGTATTATCACTGAGATACAATTCTTTATTTTGTTTAAAATAAGGTTTTGTTTTGTTTTTGTTTTTGTTTTTTTGGTAATTTACATTCTTAATCAAGATCTTACCTATCACAATGAGAGAAAAAAACAACTGAACTAGAAATGTCATAAATACTCCTTTGTTAATATTATTAATGGTTTGTAAATAAACTCATGTTATTTTGGATATGTAATTCGACTAGTCAAAGTGGAACTCAATTTCAAGCTAAGCTCGAACCCGAGCTCAAAATTTTGACCTCAATTCAAGCCAATTGGTTGAGATCAAGCTTGAGCTTCAATTTTTTAAGGCTTGATTTAGCGTGAACCATTATATTTTTATTGAGCTTGAGTTCGGCTTCCCTCGTTTGCAACCCTAGTTTGGAATTATCTCCTCCCTCTTCCTTGGTTAGAGTTAACATGTCCTCTTCCTCTAAATTATCCTCTTCCACACGATCTCTACTAAATATACCACTTCTTTTATTATAGCTAGTCATGTTAAGGGGGACTTGGCTGCTAGTAGCTCCAATTTTGATGCAATCTTGTTGGACTTTCTGTCATACATTTTTGCTCTACAATTGATAAGAGCTTGATATTGTGTGACTGTTATTGAAACCACCACATGATCATACTTCATCGACATAGTTTGAAGAACTTTTTCAATTACTGCATCATCTTCCGTACGTAGTGTCTCCAAATAACCTTATCTTATTCACCAAATCAATAAGACGAGTGAAATACATATATATTGTTAGATTATCTCACATCGATCATGTAATCTTCTCAACGACTGCAGCTTAAACTTATATCCCCAGCACTACTTAACTAATTGCTAAAAAAAAATAGAGTAATTAACACCTTGATGAATCTGTGGCAAGACTAATTGATCTCGTCGTATAGTGGCTACATCAACTCCATCTGGTATTTATAATTTGCCAATAAATTGCCATTGCCAAAGTTATTCACATTCCTCACTCATATCTTGATGTTTATGCATTGACTTGAATAATTAGTATTATAACGGTATGAAGCTTTAGCCAGCTTAATCTTTTTCTTTTGCAGTTAGTTGGCCACTTTTGGGTTATGGTTATCCTATCATTTGCATCTTTGTAAACATTCACTATAAAGAGATAGCTTTTTGGAATGCAAATCGACATTTTTTGTATTTGAAGTTTCAGATTTCACTTTGATCTATGATGCAGGTCTTAATATCTATTTCCTGCTTTCTTTTATATATGTGATGGTAAGTCATTTGATGTGTCAAACGTCCCCATCCATACCCTCGTCCGGTTTCGCAGCAGCCTTATCTCCGCCCCCATTTTCCTCAATGCCTCTGCCTCACTCTCTGGAAAAACTTCTCGGCAAAGATGCGCGAAGCAAGACAAGCCTGAAATCACTGAACCCCTTCAAACATCTCCTTTAAGAGCAACTTCATTTGTGAGGTTTTATCTATAAGTTTTTTTTAGGTTCCATCCATCTCATCATCAACTATCTCATTTAATTCCAAAAACCTTTTCCCCATTTGTTTTAGTTTTTTTTTTTTTACTAAATTTTTTGTAGACCCACTATTTTACTCAATTATATTTTAATTATTTTAAATAAATTAAACTAGGGGTGGGCACTTCAGTTCGGTTTATCCGAACCGAGCCGAGCCGAGCAGAACTAATAATAGAAAACCGAATGGTTCGGGATTCTTTTAAACCGAACGGTTCATTATCGAGCCGAACCGAAACCGAACGGGTTGACAAAAATCGAATCGAACCGAATATCATATGATTTTTTAAATAAATAAATAAATAATAATAATAATAATAATAATAATAATAATAAGTAAATCCAAGTCCCTTGATGCCTGTTTCGCCGTTTAGCTTTTATTCTCACTGGTATCTCTCTTAAATTTTTTATTTGATTTCTTTATAGCTTGTTCTCTACATTGCACTTTGTTCTTTACCTCACAGTTATATCTAACTTGAGTTATATTTACACTATTCAGTATTTCCCTTAGTTTCATGTTTCTATAAATTTAATGTGCTTTACAATCATTTTAATTTTGATTTCCAGTGCACTAGAATTATTTTCTAGTACTAGAATATATTGCAAGTGCACTAGCAATGACAGATTGTGTCCAAAAATTAACTATATAGTACTTTACCCTTGTTCTTCTAATATCAACTATACAGATAGATGATTATTCATCTTGTCAATAAAAATATTCCAAATGAACCAACTAAAGAGTCGGTTGTGCAAAAAAGTTAACTGATGCTTGGTAATTAGTACTTAGTATATATTGTGTTTGAATTTTGGATTGCTATTTTGTTATATAATGTTTAGAGTTTGGATTTGGATTATGTGATTATGTGAATATGTATTGTTTGGTAGTATGTTCGAAAAATTAGAAAATGTTGAAATTAGGGGATCTTAAACCGAACCGAACACCAAACCGAATTAAATCCGAACCAAAATCGAACTATTTCAAACCGAACCGAAACCGAATCGAACTCTAATGTTAAACCGAATGGTTTAACTTTTTTAAAACAAATTAAAAAAAAAAAACGAAATCGAAAAAAACTGAACCGAAACCAGAAACGCCACCCCTAAATTAAACATACCTACACTAGTTAATAGGTTTGAGTTTCCATCCCCCTCCAAAGGGTGGATTTTCTTTCCCTAAAAATACCTCTCTTCTCAACTGAAGAAGTGCTGGTTGTTCAACTGATTATATCTTAGAAAAAGCTCTTCAAACAAGTTCATCTAAAAGCTTCTCAAAACCAGTGTGTGTGATTGTGAAGTTTTCAAAGAAGCTCATCCAGATTTTATTCCTCACAATCCTCAAGAAGTCTTGCATCCTTATAAGAAGATTCATCCGATCATCAAGTCAAGACTTTAAGCTGTTGGAGAAACACATCATTTCCATCTAACACTCAACTCTGAAGAAGAAGTTGATAGAGGCGGAGTAAACTCTAGGAGTTGAAAAACCTTCCAAGTAGCTGTCCGGCTTAGTGATCAAGGAAGCTAGCTTGAATAGTTTGTACTAGGAGTGATAGTGCAAACTCTTTCACAAGTTGCGAAAGTAGAGTGGAGTAGGCTTTGTTAATAGCTGAACCACTATAAAAATCCCTCTCTCTATCTCTCTTTTCTTTCGTATAACTATCTATCTGCCATTGCATACATATTGACCAGACGATATGCCTTCATAACGAAACCGTGCAAAGTCCATCTTAAAACGAATATACAATTTCCGCTATGCATAACCCCGAAAGGAGTTAATCTGAAAAATCGATTAGAGTCTATTCACCCCCCACCTCTAGACTCTCTTTCAACCCTACCGGGACCAACAGTATTTATAGGAAAATGATGATGATGATGATGATGATGATGATGATGATGATGATGATGATGATGATGATGATGATGATGATGATGATGATGATGATGATGATGATGATGATGATGATGATGATGATGATGATGATGATGATGATGATGATGATGATGATGATGATGATGATGATGATGATGATGATGATGATGATGATGATGATATGATGATGATGATGATGATGATGATGATGATGATGATGATGATGATGATGATGATGATGATGATGATGATGATGATGATGATGATGATGATGATGATGATGATGATGATGATGATGATGATGATGATGATGATGATGATGATGATGATGATGATGATGATGATGATGATGATGATGATGATGATGATGATGATGATGATGATGATGATGATGATGATGATGATGATGATGATGATGATGATGATGATGATTGATGATGATGATGATGATGATGATGATGATGATGATGATGATGATGATGATGATGATGATGATGATGATGATGATGATGATGATGATGATGATGATGATGATGATGATGATGATGATGATGATGATGATGATGATGATGATGATGATGATGATTGATGATGATGATGATGATGATGATGATGATGATGATGATGATGATGATGATGATGATGATGATGATGATGATGATGATGATGATGATGATGATGATTGATGATGATGATGATGATGATGATGATGATGATGATGATGATGATGATGATGATGATGATGATGATGATGATGATGATGATGATGATGATGATGATGATGATGATGATGATGATGATGATGATGATGATGATGATGATGATGATGATGATGATGATGATGATGATGATGATGATGATGATGATGATGTGATGATGATGATGATGAATGATGATGATGATGATGATGATGATGATATGA